CACGCCACAGTTGCCACCACCTATGGAAATTACTTCTTGCAGTGTAGACAAGCATAACAATTGAACAGTTCAAATGTACTATTTTGGAAACTGGTTCATAATTGTTGTGGGACAGGTTGCAGATACATTTAACAACAGAATCATTTCAACAGGCAGAGACTGAGCCAGTTCACAATTGTGTGAAGTGTTGTGGTTCTGATACCAGGGGGTGGGAGTAAGTATCTGGCCCACCGTGCCTCTAGTGGGGGAGGGAAGTGCTCACATTCATGCTTTGGAGGTCCCAGAGGTTGGGTGACCTGTCACTGGGGACATTTTCACTTTTCTGCTTTCCCTTCTCACCTAAACATGAGTTCAGTAGACATCAATAGCCTGCAGTTGCCCCGAGTCTGCAGTGTGCTTGCCTCACTTGTGGGAGTGCTTGAGCCCATTCTTTTTTGGTTCCCAGGGCCAGGGTCCATGATGAGGAGCTGCAGTTAAGTGAGGACACAGTCGGTTGTTAGAAAGATAGCTTTTGTTGAACAAGCAGCACAAGGAAGCTCATTGATTGTTCCTGCAAAGAAGAGCCTTTGATTGTAAACGGTTCCTCAGGCCTTTTCCTATCTGATTTGTTTTCAGGATTCTTATCTGACCTTTCTGATGTGTCTACTGGCCTTGGGTCCTCAGGTTACCTTTGATGATGGATATAAGCCTTATCACTCAAACTCTGTTTTGATATCCCAGATTCCTTGCATCGATTGCCAGAATCCTCCCCAGATCAAAAGGATTCCCTAGATCCATATCTGAGACTGGATAACTTGCAGAAGATCTGTCCTTTGTAGATCTGTCCCTTCACCGTATGAGGTTTTGTTCCAATGTTGCCAAACAGCTTTCAGTCTTTCAGGAATTTCAGAACTTAAAACACTATAAAGCTTTAAGCCCTGCAGATTTCCCTGAAGAAATTAGACATCTCAGGAGGTAATTAATATTTTGCAGTGTTCTGGCCTGAACATTAGGTCCTTATAAATCTATAAATCCCTAATGGACCCTGTCAAGAAAGTTTGACAAACCCTAGCTGTTTGGTCCCCTTCTGTGGGGACGGTCAACAAGAACTATCATACCTTTCCTAGGAGGACTGAGTGCTTTCACTCCTACAGAGAGGCATGCTCCTTATTTTTTGCCTTGTCCTTTGGTTTGCTTGCCAATCCTTGAAACATCCTAGGAAGATGTGGTGGTTCCAAAAGAAGATATATTCCTCTACTTCATTTGCCTTCCAGATCTTATCCAGCAGCAGCCAAGCTCCTGGTGGTGTGGTAGAGAAATGCCTAAGATCCACCTCTCGGTATTGTTGGCTACAAATGTCCAACTCGGGATCCTTAAAATTCTGGTTTATTAAGCAGATTGAAGCACTGTAATGAAGTTAAACGCATGCACGCACACACACACACACATGCACACACACAGTAGCAAGCTACAAGAGTCAGGTATACCTATCTCACAAGCACTGGAGTCTGCTGTTGAGGCTTCTTTTAGCGTGGTGTTATCTTCTAGAAGGGGGTCGCCGGCTGGTCCTTCTGGCTGGACAGGTCGGGTGCTGGTCAAGTTGGAGATCAAGAGGGTGCCACTGAGGGTCACTTTTCACTGCCTTTTATCTATCCTTAGCAGACTTTGGTGACTCCCCAGTTTTCAGGTTTGCCCAATCCAGGGGTCATTGACCCTCATGGGACTCCCCCCCCCCGCCTCGGTGGCTACTGGATGGCATCTGTCAGCTCCAGGGATCGTCTGCATGTACGTGCAGGTTTGGGAGTCCGTTGATGAATTTTGAATAGGGCTCTGGGAGCGGTTGATGTGGAGATATTCAGCCCAAAAGTTGGTCCCCGGCGTTGATTAACTCAGGCCAGGGCTTCTAGCCCTTGATCAGTGAGGTTTAGAGATTTCCTGGTTGTTACATTGTCTTCTATTGAGTTCTTCCGTTGGTTGATCTGCAGTTTTCTTAGGTGTTATTGCTGCCTGCTACCGTGTTACACATTCAATCACTGATTCACTCGCTCTTTCAGGGGCCAGCCTGATACAGGGAAGGGCAGTTTGATTCCTGCCCTTGTTAACATTGTTACAATGTATAACTAACTTATGAAACTAAACACATTTAGTTGAAAGGTGAGGAGTATAAAATATAAGCTACAAAAGTAATGCCATGGCACACAAATAGATAAAAATACCAAAATACAAGGGGAGATACAAAATGCACACATACAAATTTCAAAACACAATTCCTTATCTTAAAATGAAAGAAAGAGGAAGGAAGAAAAGGTAGAAGAGAAAAAACATATCCAAGGAGGAGAGAGCAACTGCAGGCAAGAGGAAAAGGGGCTTTCTGCTACAGTATGAGCAGAAATGCTTTGGTGTCACCCATCCCAATGACATGTATAAAGACAAGAATTGGCAGGAGAAAAGGAAGTTATAAGTAGGGGGAATTTTAGATGTCCTTCACATGTATATCCACAACTCATCCCTCTTCCCCTCTTTGAGTCAGATACAGCAGCTCACCTGGTTCAGGTGAAAAGGAGCAGGAAGCTTAAACCCTTTGCATGGACCACGAAGAGAGGTGGTAGGGTGGAATCATGCCCCACAGATGATGCTAAGGCAAAAAGTTTCCCAGCTTGAGTGTTTGTGCCCCATGTGCACTTTCACTGAGGATATGCATGTGGACAACAAGTTTCAAAAACTGTCACTTACGTTTAAGTAACTCATCTTTATTCTACTTTTTTTCTGTTCCAGGTTTTCATTTTACTTAACCCAGTTCCTTTTTCTTAATCTTTTGTTCAAGGACTTAATCATCAATTAAGCAAATGTTTAATTTTGGTTTACTTCCATTATTTTAAAGAATTAATTTATGGTTTTATAGATGGCCTTTACAATTTTTCATGGTACTTTGTATCCTGAAGCTTTATGCTCATTTTAGATTCTTAAAATGTTGCTGGTTGCCACTTGATAGTAGCATTCTATCTTTGTCCTAACCTGACTGATTCAGTTGGAAATCAGATTCTTTTTATGCACTTGCTTTTCTGCATTATCATCTGCAAAGAAGGCAAAGCCTTTCTTGAAGGTGTGGGACTCTGATTTTAATTGATTCTTGTTTAATGCCATGTATTATACTGAAGTTCAGTATATTTGACTATAGACTGCTTAGCTTTAACTTAAAGATATTTATAAAGACTAGTGATTTAAATAAGAAGGAAGAAAAGGAAGACAGTTAAAGGAAGGAAATTAACTAGTCAGTCTCTGAAGTTT